AACAACAACAACATGGTCATTTGTGTTTGAAGCTGCTACAGAGCAGTTTTTCATTAGTCTTCCAAAGCAAAGTAAGAGCTAACATATTCCAGAACAGCATTGTAAATGACAGATTTTAAGTGGGAACTTTTAGAAGAAAACTGGGTGTAGATTTTCAGCTGTAATTAAAGCTTTGGTAAGAAATCAGGCTGCCTCGGTGTTTTTTGAGCACATTAATAGTGGGTTGTAGGGGGTTCTCAACTTTTTGTTTAGAGTCTGAGTAGTGAGTTTTGAGACCTTCCCAAACTCTTAATTCACAGCTGTATAGAATCACTTAGCTCAGAGTGTGGATTCCCGTAAACCACATTCAAACTCACTGCTGTTGAGGGTATTACAGCTCCTAGCAGCTTTACAGGTCAGTCAGATTAGAGTCATCCTATAGGATTCTCAAGGTGGTGAGTCTTTTGGGATCATTTTGCACATCTCCTTACAGTGGGCCTGGTGAGTTCCACCTACTGAACTTTTGTTTAGCGGCGAGTGCTTTAACCATAGTGCCACCAAGATGTGTTTTGTTGAATCCTGGTACCATGCTAGGAGCTCTGGCCTCTTATATACTCTTGAGTGGGAACCAACCAGCAGTTGACCCTCCAGTGAGTTTCCAGATGTAGCAAATCACACAGAAGGTGATTGCCCATCCTCTCCTGGAGCATCTGGTGGATTTGAACTGTGTACCTTTGAGATTGCAGCACAGCTCCTTACTATGAGGCCACCTTGGTCTCTTAGTGGTAAGGAATTGTGCTGCCAAACCAAAACTATACTGTGTGACTCCACCAGTTGCTCCACAGGAGAAAGCTGTGTGATCTCCCATGTGATTTACTGCCTCTGAAAATTCACAGAGGGTTGGTTATTTGTCTGTTTTGGCTCGATGACACTCAGCAACAACAGCCACACCCAAGTTATTTAAACAATATGACAAAGATACTAGCTTTTCCATTTAGAGAGATAAAAAGTAATAAAAGTATGCAGCCAAGTTCTTTGTTTACAAAGAATAACTCTCAAGTATTTAACTTCATGAATTAAATGAGCAAACAAAAGTTCTAATGGCCTGTATGTCTAGATACCAAGTATTTTAGGCTTTGCAGGCCATTTATGGTCTGTGTTATGTAATTTTTGTTGTTTTTCAGTGGTACCATTGACCATCTCGTTGATTCCTAGCCTCATGGAGAGGCCTCATTTTTCAGTGTTAAAACACTGCTCTGTAAAGTTTCAGTCGCTTTTACAAATTTTTTTTTCTCAAGTACCCCTAGGTAGATACTCAGCCTTTTATAGCTTGCAGCTGTCTGTGTCATTCTAGGCTTCCTTAAACATGTGAAAACTATGCTTAGCGCCTGCATGACCTTGTAACAGCATGCTGTGCTTGCCATTGTAGTGATTTAGTTCGTTCACTTCTCCTTCATGAAGCTGATTGCTTCCTGCTTTCACCCACTCCACTCCCAATTCTGTGACTGCCGTGGCTCACAACTCCTCATTTACCTCTCTCTGCCCTTACTTCATCATGTCTTTGTGCGTTCAGAAATGCTCTGCGTACCTCAGCATTCCAAGCTAGAAAGACTGTTGTCATGGCTTCCTGAGATATATGTCAGATTTGGAGAACACTACACTTCCTTTAACTCAGAGACATACATCCCTCCTCCAGTCTCCCTTCACCAGACAAAATATCCATTTTGTTCCTTAACTCCTCTTAGAACTTGTGATTTTGCTTAAAACTACTTTCTTACTTTATTGAAAATGCATTTTGGTTTTGTTCCCCTTGTTATATGTTGTTTTAAGAAAAAGATATGGTTCAAATTGCTCTTCTGTCATATTTACTAAGAAATCTGGTTATTAATTTTAGAGTCAGTCAGAATATTTGCTTTTAGATATTTTCTCATCAGGGTAAAATTCTATGTCATATTTTTTGGCCCAAGGTATTACTTCTTTTTCAAGCTTTGATATATTCTTCCTATCATACATATTCTTTTCACTGTCTTGTGACCTTTGACAAAAAATGTTTTCATTTTTATGAAACCCAATTTATTTTGTTTCTTATGCTTTTGATGTAAGAAAGCCAAGACCAAATTCGTGAGTTTATTGTGGTTTTTTTCCCTAAGTATTTTAGAATTTTAACTCTTGTATTTGGGAACCCTCTAAACTCTACAAATACTCTAAACTCTATAAATGTACAGAAATTATGTTATAGAACAGAGTTCAGGTCTTTTGTACAAAGCTTACTCTCAGTTGTATTTGACTTGAGGACACCTAACCACTGTTAAATGAGACTAGTGCCGTTACATCTGGAGGAACATTCTTCCACTTTGTTTATCACTCTTTATCAGTGTGCTGTATGAAATAACCTGGGTTTGCTGTGAGGCTGAACCTTGTGCCATTGGAGTATCAAATACCAGAATGGTTTCCCAATGTGGACAGTGTTTGGTGGAGCTCCCAGTTGTAAAACAGGTTTGGAAGCAGGAGTTGGCATCCACTTCCTAAACCACATGCCTCTGGAAACTACGAACTTGGAGAGGCATTAGGTCTTTTGTTCATAGTCTGCTATGAGTTGTGCTGACTTGATGGCAGTCAACAACAACATCATACATATAGCCCATTTATTATCATAAAAATTATATTTTAGGAAAAAGTTTATTGTAGAAAGTAAAATGTCACCACCTAGAATAACTTGCTTTGAGAAAATTCTTACCTTACTACTTATCAGGGTTTTGAACTAGTTCAGCCCACTTTAGTCATGGCTGACAGTGACACTGCAATGACCTTGAATTTTTAAAATTAAAATGAACTGGAATGTTAGCCAAAATGAGTAAAAATAGGTTGAAGCCCTGTTAGAAATTTAGTCTCTCTTTTAGAAAACAAAGACTGTGTTGATGTTGCCAGCATCAAAATGTCTTGACTGACAGAGTTGGAAACAGTGGCAGCCACCTTACAGATGTTGGCCAACCACTTTTCTTTGAATGTGATTGACTTTCCTGGCAGTCATCAAGTGGCACATCAGGCTCCTTGAGTTTCTCATGCTTCTTCCAAGATTCCCATTCCATGGCATCAACCCATCATTTCCCCCATGTATGTGTCTATATAACCCAAATTTAAAAAATTTGCATCTGTCAGTTTCTGCTTGGTTGTCCGTGACAACGGGTTTGAAACCTTGTTTTTAAAAGGCTATTGAACAAATCCCACAATCTGTAAATGATTTAAATTCTAAGTGATTCCTGACACATACATAGGCTTTTCATGATGGTTTGATTCAGTCACTGGGGTAATGGGGATGGTGTGTCTGAGACAATAAGATTGGCACAGGATAGAGCAGGGTTTAGGGCTGTTGTACATAGGGTCACTATGAGTTGCAGGCGACTCCACGTCACATAACGGTAACAAGTGATTCCTAATATTCCTTCCAGTTCCAAAAGCTCTGATTCTGTGAAACTTTACCTTTCTCATTAAACTTTTTCAAAAGGTCTCATTTTTTGTGTGTAATGCAGACAATCCCCAGGTTATAAACATTTGATTTCTAAACAACTCTTACCTGCTCTTAAATGCAAGGCTTCAAACCACTTCTGTCATGACAGATAAAGTAAAGCAGGCATAGCTCTAAAGTTTTACAATTTGGGTGATTTGTCATGGTAATTAGAATGAAAAAAATTATAGGTTAAAGCTCTGGAATGAGAGACTTGCAAGAGGCATACTGACTCCTTTCAAGAGCCTAGTGCATGACATTGACTTACTGGCAAGATGGAAAGCCACACATTTAGAGAGGCACACTTGACCATCATCTCTGAACAAGGCCGTGCTGTTTCAAAGCTCTGCTTTAATTGTTCTGTAAATTAGCCTTGACTTTGAGATGACTGAACCTTGGCTTCCTTAAAACAGATTCATCACAATCATCTTCAGTTGCTGCCCTCACAGCTTTTAAGTCATTAGGATTTTGAGCCTTTTCTTGCCCTGAACTAAGGCTAGAGCCTTAACAAAGAGCTCTTTGACTAACTTACAAATTCTTAGAAACACATGTAAGAGTAGATCTTGTGTATAACTCAGGGACTGCCTGCATTATAAATGGAAAAAGGTTGCTGGTGATGTGTTGGTTAAGCATTAGCACACTACCTAGAAGGCTGGTGGATTGAACCCCTACCCATTCTAGAGAAGGATAGGACAATCTGCTTCTCTAAAGATTTTATCCTTCTAAACCCCATGGGGCAATTGTTCTCTGTTCTGTAGGGTTGCTGTGAGTTGAAATCAACTCTGTGCTAGTGGGTTATTACAGACTTATCTGATAATTCATGGGTATTATGTTTTATTGGAGGGGGGGTTCTTTTTTTTATATGTATAGCATATGATTAGTGAAAAATAATAGTGCAGGCATTTAGCAATATTCAATGTTCATCTGACTGACCAAAGGAATGGTTCTTAGGATGCCGTCCTATCTACTGATCTTTACTCTCTTGTCCCTCTCAGGCTATGAGTAGGGCCAGAGCCCACAGGTCTCAGTTAGAGGACGCTGCGTCCACTTTCAGTGCTGATGACCTCATGAGTGTGGATTTGACAGACGAGATGGCTGGTGACTCTGATGACAGCATCTCAGCATCGGCCAGCAGAGGAAGAGGCCGAGGAAGAGGTCGAAGAGGAGGCAGAGGGCAGAACTCCTCATCAAGAGGAGGGTCTCAAAGAGGACGGGGTCAGCAGTCCCTGGAACCATTTGCACATAGTCACTCTTTGTATTTGAGTGGGAAACAGAATATTGCATTCCTGTTGTCAAAAATAAGTTTTAAGTGTCATTGCTGAAAGGAAATCTTTTAGAAATTTACTTTTATAAAGCATTAAGTCAATGTTTAATACAATGCTGACATATACCTTTTACTTAAATTATGAATATAGCAGTCTTCATACAGGGTCTTGACCCTTTTGCTGTTGAGTTAATTTTGATTGATGTAAAGAGTAAAACTTCACACAGGGTGTTCAAGGCTGTGACCTTTCAGAGGTGACCATCAGACCAAGGTGCTTGTGTGCGGGCTGAACTCCAGCCTTTGGGTGGTGCTCCCACATGTAACTCTTTGTGCCACCCAAGATTTAGCCCATTTTCAAAGGTTTGTTTGGTTTTTTTTTAGCGCTTCACTGTTTTTCAAACATTTTCTTTTGGCACATTTGGTATCACGCTTGTTCTCAAATTTACACAGAAGTAAAAACCTCCAAAGCTCTGTCACTGGGTCTGTCCCAGCTCATAGCATCCCTCTGGCAGGTTTCCAAGGTTGAGTCTGAATGAGGAGGATGCTCACCCTTTCTCCTTGGAACCGCTGATACATTTGAACCACTAGAGACTAATCGTGACACAACTATCAACTGTTAAGGGAAATTGCTAGTTAATGGCCACCAGCAGCTAGAAGGAAGCCTCAGATCATAAACATTATGATTTTTGTTACTATAGTATTATTTGAAGTTATAAGTGCTAATATGCTTCAAAGCAATCCTGATAAAAAAACTAAGTAAACGAAGCTTTGGACTGCTTACCAACAGATGGTGGCTGCCTCCCTCCCCCCACCCCAAGCTGTTCTCCTGTAACCCTCCAGTTTGCTCTTAGGAAGATTCACAGTCTTGGAAACCCTTTGAGGTAGTTCTAACATGTCTATAGAGCTGCTTTTAGTTGGAATCCACGTAACAGCAGCGTTTGGGGGTTTTGGATTAATTTACCAACTTTCCCCTTAGATTTTCATTGGAACCAACTGAAGTAAAGGTGACCTATGAATCATCTCTGACAACTGGTTGATCAACTCTAGATGTTTCTTCATATATGTATACCTTTGACTTTTTATAACTAAACTTTGTTCTTATATAACTTTCTTTAAAATTTATCTTTATGGGCTTAGGGTAAAAAGATTGCAAAGACTTTTCTTTTGGTCAGATTGTGTATTGATTATGCTCATTATTCTAACTTCAGGGAGTAGTCTGGAGACCTCCACTCGAAGCAGAAGCTCAAAGGCCGCTACTGCATCATCTAGAAATATGTCCATTATTGATGGTGAGTACAGGCTGCTGGTAATGACATAGCAGTTATCATTTCCATCCTAGCAAGACTGAAGGAACTCTGGTGGCATAGCCTGTAGCTGCATTGTTCACTCTTGGGCTAAGTCTCCAGAGGTTCAAATCCCTTAGCAATGCCCAGGGAGAAAGGTGGGCAGTCTCCACCCATTGTGATGGTTAGCCTCAGAAACCTGTTGGAGAAAGGGTCACCGTGAGTCAGAACTGATTTGATGGCTGTGAGTGGTTTGAAAGAATGGCTTTGGAAATCCCCATGAGAAGAACTTACTAGTTTGTTTGCTGTTGTTGAGGAATTGATAGAGTTATTGGTTCTGGTGGCCTCATGGGTGAGGAGTTGTTTGTTAACCCAAAAGCAGGCAATTCAAATCCACCACTTGCTCCAAGGGAAAAAGATAGGCAGTCTCCTTCTGTGTGATTTACACCATCTGAAAACCCCACTGGCAGGTCAGCTATATGTCACTTCTAGCTTGAGAACACATAACAATATGATCACAGGGTCCCTTCATCAAAACTGTTGAAGAAGCTGAGCCTTAAAAATAGTGGAATCAATGGTTATTAATTTTATAAGGCATAATGTGTGCAAATGATTATATGAAATACAATATGAATGGAAACAAATTTTAAAAAGTCAAACAGGAAAAAAGTAATACCTTGCTTTAGATAAACATCATTCTTTTTCTTTAACAGATGAGTCACTAAACTTGAGTCGGGTGATCAGTTTATTGTGAGAGATCAAGTAATGAAGAGACTGCCTCTAATACTATTTGCTTTCTTCTCCTTCTCCACTGTTATATAGAAAACTCACGTGAACTGTATTTAACTTAAGGGTGTGTCACTTTAGCTCCAACTCAAGCAAAAGGACATAAGCCAGGAAGTTAAGAGAGAGGAAAGGACATAAGCCAGGAAGATAAGAGAGATAAGAGGTCAAGGTAACTGCAAATCTGATGACATCTTGAGTTCTTTTACTTAGGAGAGGCTATTCTTCCTTAGGAGAGTTCTTCCTTAGGAGAGGCTATTCCTTAGAAAGGGACATCATGCTTGGAAAAGTAGAGGATTAGCAAAGGACAGGAAGACCCTCAATGAGCTGAATTGATACAGTGACTCCAACAGTGAACTCAAGTATATCATGATGATGAGAATGACACAGGATAGGTCAGGGTTCAGGTCTGTTGTTCATAAAGTCTATGAATCATACTCAACTTGATGGCACCTGACGACAACCCTAAGTGAGTGATTCTTACTGAATTGGACATGTCACACCAAGATCGTTGTGTTCATCTTTGGAATTCTATTTCAGGAAAGATGCCAGCTATACATGATCAGTCAGTAGAAAAATGATATAAAATGTTTTAAGGAACTTGAGATATCTCACCTGGGAAATAATCAGGTCACTATGTAGTTTAAGCTCTAAAGAGTGAAAGATGGAATAGATTTGATTTGTATAGAGGCGGTTGTCTTGTCATCTGTTTGGGGACATTATTTTCTCTAAGAATCTGAGGAAAGCTGAGTCTCCTGTCCCCAAGTTTATGCAATTTGGACTCAAAGTATGCAGGAACTTCTATAAGTCTACCCATGGAAGGGGAGGGAGACAGACCATGCACAGCTTCAAAACCTGTATGGAATCCAGGCAGATACATGCAGAAAGTTAGGATGAAGTATCATCACATCTGCAATATTTCTTTCATTGGCTCAGAGAAAAAAATATTTTAAAAAAATTCTGTTTACTCCTGATCTGCTCACCCAGGTAGAGGGAAAAGACATTGTATTTTTCTTGTCTCTGGCAAAGGAGACAGTTGTTTATGAAGGCACATATCCCTCTCCTATACCTGACTCTTCTCCACTGAGTATGTGAAATAACAGTGAAAGTACTTGCACAGAAAAGCACGAGACCAGTTGTGGTTGTTGTTGTTATGTGCCGTCGAGTCATTTGCGACTCATAGCGACCCTATGTACAACGCCCTAAACCGTGCTCTATCCTGTACCAATCGCAT